TTTGGATTTGCCACCGATGATTCCCCCAACTATTCGTGTTTTGTTGTTGTTGTGTGTGTGTGTGTGTTTGCAGTACTGGGGCCTCTGCACGGAGCTACATCCCAAGCCCCTTTTATTTATTTATTTTTTTCAGCACTAGGGATCCAACTCGGGACCTTGGGCTTGTGAGGCAGGCGCAGTGCCACTGAGCTAAATCCCCAGCCCCTCCAAGCCCCTTTTTATTTTGAGACAGGGTCTTGCAAAGTCACTAAGTTGCCCAGATTTGGTGTGAACTCACAACTCTCCTGCCTCAGCTTCCCAGAGTGCTGGGAAAACAGGTATTTACTGCTATGCCTGGCTTCACCAGTCATATAAGCGTGTGCGTGTGCGTGTGCGTGTGTGTGTGTGTGTGTGTGCATGCTTCTACTCAATGATACTGCATTGCAGATTCCCAGGAACTCTGCTGAGGACATGACAGAATGTATTCCATTCCAAGGATCTTTTCTGCTACAATTTTATAATTACAGCTCCAACTTCCCCCTTCCTCCCTGGAAGCCTCTTGCTTACCTACTCTCCATCTTAGGACTTGGTTACGTCCAGAATGCTGCACAGATGGAACCACTTAGTGGATGCCCTTGTGAAATCAGCCCCTTCTACTCAGCACGGCTCCCTGCAGAGCCACCTGAGCTGCATTCACCAAGAACATTCCTCTTCAGTGCTGCGTAGTATTCCCCAGACAAGATGAACCACTGTGTGTTTAACCATTTGCTGCCTACTTAAGGATATCTGGGTTGTTCCCAGCAATTGGTCATTTTGATTTTTTTGGGGGGTAGGGGTACTGGGGATAAAACTTGAGACCTTGGGCTTGTGAGGCAGGCGGCGGAACCACTGAGCTAAATCCCCAGCCCTGGATTTTTCAGGTTTTTTTTTGGGGGGGTGGTTTAGATCATTTTGAATGAAGTTGCTCTGAATCACATCTAGGTCTTTTGTGAACAGAAGCTTTCACTTCTCTGAGGGGTACAAATGCCCCGAAATGCTATTAGTGGATCATTCGATAAATGCATATTGTTTTGCAAAACACAGCAGACAAAATCCTGCCAGCCCCGTTCTCCAAGATGGCTGCACCAGGGTCCACCCTTAGTGGCGTGGACCATGGCGCATGACCACGAGTGGTCCGTCTTCCCTTCATCCTCGCCGGCACTGGGTGTTGTTGTTTTTCCTGTGGCTCCTCTGGATCAGGGTGGTGCCCCTCCTCCGTAAGAGGCCATGCTGCGTAGGTCTCTCTGGGGACTGTGGTGCCTCCTGCTCACCTCTGTTCCCTTTGTCAATCGGCTGTGCAGTATCGGACTGTTGGACCCCTCATCTTTGTGTATTCTAGGCCCACGTTCCCTGTCAAATCCGTGCTGTGCCAGGGTCTCCTCTCAGGCAGGTCCTTGTCTTTTCATCCCTTTGAATAGTGCCTTTCACCGAGCAAAAATTATTAGTTTTGATGAAGTCCAATTTATCTGCTTTTGTCTTTTCTGAATCACCTTTAGGTGTCATCTCTCAGACCTTTTCACAAATGTAAAGGTCGAGAAGATTTTCTCTTTTCCTCTAAATGTTTTATGGTTTTTACAAGTTGCACGCAGCCTGTGTGATCTGGCCTGAATTCTATTTAGAGTAAGAAGGAAAGCCTGAGAGGATTTCAGTCTGGGACCATAGGAGCCAAAAAAGGTTCTGGAGCGAGAGCAGGGAGAAACGTCAAGAAGACTTAAGGGAGTAGAGTCAGACAGCCATGACAGCCTCACTGAGAGCCTCAGTTTCCCCAGCTAGAAAACAAACTGAAAAGACCAGAAAATATATCAAGACAGTTGAAACTGGGCGTGGTGGCACACGCCTGTCAACCCAGCTCTTGGAAGGCTGAGGCAGGAGGATCCTTGTGGGTTCAAGGCCAGCCTGAGCTAAATAATGAGTTTGAGGCCAGCCTGGGCTACACAGCAAGACCCCATCTCCAAACAAAACAGTGAAAAAGACAGTTGGAATGAAATGAGGTCACATCCCCCAAACTTGGTTGCCAGGATCCTCGGAGTCAAACCACAGCGCCCCAGAGCCTGGTGTCCGCAGGGAGGGACAGTGCCTCCCTCCAAGGCGACTCATGCGACCTGAAAACCGGGCTCTCCCTGTCGAGGACAAAATCAGGTCCTTTTTCCATTCCAGTCATACTCACCTATACATCAAGTGCACCGAGAGCCACTTTCCCGAAAATCTAAATTGAAAGTAAATAGCACAGGGACAATTCTCGGTGATAAAACCGCCGGGCTCAGAGCTTCGTGGGGTAATATTTATCCTCCCCGTGCAGCCTCCTCCTGGCGTTATCATCAAAGTGACGCTCTGCTTAACCTGAGCGGGGTGCAGCGCCCCCCCAGGGCCTGCCTGGGCCCCGGCACCCCCCGGCTGCCGGACAATTACAGCAATGGGACTGCTGGTTTGCAATTACTCTAAATCGCGGAGCACGACGGCCCAGATTCGTTTTTCTTTATTGAAAATGTTTAAACTTCATGTATTGCAAATATCACTGCCCCGGACTGGATTTAACTCTTTCTTTGGAGCCAGAGAGCTCTGCGGGGTTGGTGGTCGTGGTGGCATTAGGATTGTGATGAGTTTCTTTTTGATTTTGGGAGAGCTGGGGCTGGAACCCAGAGACTTCTGATGGAGCTCCATCCCCAGCCCTTTTTCTTTTTTTATTTTGAGACAGGGTCATCCAGTCTGAGTCATCCGGTCTGGCTTTGAACTTGAGATCCTCCTGCCTCAGCCTCCCAGAGCGCTGGGATCACAGGTGTGCGCACTGTACTTCTTAAAAGGGAACAGCTGAGGCTTGTTGCTGGTTCAGGGTAATAGAAAGAGGAGAGGAGAGCCACCCAGATTCTGGCTAAGCAGCTGCAAATGCCGACCCTGGCAAGATGGGGGGACACAGGAAGAGCTGATAAGGGGAGACGATCGGTGAGGTGCCTGAGAGACCTGTGAGGAGACATCTAGGGAGGCCCCGCCAGAGAGAAGGCTGCGGTTGTCTTAGAGCGCGGATGGATGTAAAGCACTGGGAAGAACCTTCTGAGGGGACGCAGGAGGAAGAGACCCCAGGATCCAGCCCTGGGCTAAGGAAGGGCAGAGAGAAACTGAGGCAGGCAACAGAGAGGCAGATGGAGCCAGATGCCCGTGAAGCCTGCAGCCCTAGTGTTTCCAGGAAGCCAGACCTGGCCTGCCTGGCTCCATGCTCTCTCAGTTACGAAGTTACATGGGCTGGGTTTGGGCTTGAGATCCTCCCGCCTCAGCCTCCCAGAGTACCTGGGATGACAGGCGTGCCCCACCTCACCCCCAGTTTAGAGCCGTATCCTTCGGGTGAGGCACTTCCTGCCCAGACGCCACTGAGTAGTGGGCAAAACAGGAACAAGACCGGCACCCACCTCCCAGCCAGGCCCCAGCACCCCTCAGAGCCTGGGCTGGGACTGTCTCTCTCCCCAGCGCCTGTCTGCGCCTGTCTGTCCTTGCTACAGGCTGGGGCACAAGTCCGCCTGCCCGTCAAGGAAGCAGAGTCTCCAGGAAAAAGGAAGCGACAGTTCCCGGTGAGAAAAGGGCCCAGGAGTCAAAGTGCTTCTTCAAAAATAAATAGCCTGATTAGCATAAAGTATGCAAATGTATGCTAATGTGACAACTATTAAAAGATTCCAAATGTCATCGAGGGAAAACACCGGGTGCTGGCGGATGGGAGGGTGGGGGATGGGAGGAGAGGGTGCAGGCCGGAGGCCTTCGGAAGGTCGGGCTCAGCCCGGATCACCAGGCTGGACTCCTGTGCACACACGCGCGCACACACATGCACGATCACTCACACACTAGTCCAGGGGAACTCGCATCCCCAGAGCTCTGTCTGTAGGTCTCCACACCGAGACCCTGTGACTCCCTCTTCAGAAGTCTCTCCCCAGGCCAGGTGTGGTGGCCCGGGCCTGTCATCCCAGCACTGGGGAGGCTGAGGCAAGGCGATCGATCGCTGAGAGTTCAAGGCCAGCCTGGGCTACAGAGCGAGCCCGTCTCACAAAAAAGTCTTTCCTCCAACACTGCAAGTTCTGACAACGCCTCCCGCGCCACCTTCAGCCCTGCAGTCTCCCCAGGAAGGAGGCAGCAGCAGGGGAGAGAGGTCCCAGAATCTTTCCTGTGAGTGATCGCCCCAAATCTCCTAGGGACCTGGGTCGGGAGATTTTTCCTATGTGTAATAAAGCAATAGGTCACTCTCTGGAACTCCAGCCGGAATTTGCAAACCTCTCTTCCCTACTTGTCTTCTGACACAGACAGGCAGCGGATGCCACCCGGGTCACAAGGGCACTGTCCTACCCATGGCCAAAACCCTTTGATGAGGCAAAGGTGATTGGAAACATTTTCATCGGAGAAAACAAAGGATCGCAGAGGAAGAGGCATCCGCCCAAGGTTGCAACCGCGACCCAGGTCTGTCGGCTGCCCCCGCCTCACTCCTCAAATTTCACCCCCAAACTTCAGTCACTACCTGACTAGGCCCCCAGTTATTTCCCGGATATTTTCCTCCCAATGGGCTCCGCTTTGCATGATCTGAAATCAGTTTCAAGGGAGACTGTTTATCACAACGGTAAACGAAAAGCCAGAGCATTCGCCCTAAGTAGAAAATAACTCTGCAAACAGAAGTGATGTCAATAGTTTCTGCCCCAACTCCGTGGCCCCTGAGGATCCGAGCTGGGGCTTACCGGCTCCTTAGTCCAAAGGGAGATTCCCGGGGTCAGAGGAACAGGTAAAGACAGATTAGCACCTAATTAAGACTATCTTGTTTTGTTTTTTTGAGACAGGGTCTCACTGTGTAGTTGAGACTGACCTGGAATTCACTCTGTAGCCCAGGCTGGTCTCCAACTCCCAGGGATCCTCCTGCCTCAGCCTCCCGAGTGCTGGGATGACAGGCGTGCGCCACCACGCCCGGCTAATTAAGACTATTTTAAAAGAGAAGTACAGAGAAAGAGCTCTCTTACTTTAGGGTTCAGCGGTGCTCAAGGCTGCCTTGTGTGTCACTGAAAACCATCTCCTGGTCACCAGGATGCGGTCCACGTACGGAAAGGCGGGGTACTGTCCCCAAACCCGGGAACTGTGCTGAAGGAGCTGTCTGGCACCCACTGGTGCTGCTGGAAGACACAGGAGGGATGATTTTGATTATAAATACACCTACCTGTTGTCCAACTGTCTCCTCATCCACCCAACCATCCATCTATCCACCCATCCGTTATATTTTAGATCTAAAATGTCCCCCCAAAGTCTCATGTGTTTGGAGGAGGGGTCTGGCTGGAAGGGGTGACTCGCTGGGAGCACTGTTACCGGAAGGGTGTGTTCCTGTCCCTGGCTCCTCCCCTCACCCTCCGCTTCCGGGTCGCCATGAGGTGAGCAGCTGTCCTCCGCCAGGCCCTTCCACCCTGCCATTTCTGCTTTGGAGCCAGCTGACTACGGACTGCAACTGTGGCCAAAATTAGCCTCTCCTCCTTTAAGCTGCCCGTACCAGGTATTTTGTCCCAGTGATAGGAAAGTGACAAATACACCCTGTACTACCCATCCGTCCATCCGTCCATCCATTCACACATCTGTCATCCGTCCGCCCATCCCGCATCCTCCTACCACCCATGCATCCATCCTTCTACCTGACCATCTGTCTGCCCGATCAGTAAATGTATATCCAGGCCCACAGGGTCAGGGAGCTTCTGTGGAGACCTTCGTACCGGCCCCCGGCCTGAAGGATTTTCTCAGTGACGACACCTCCGTGATGCAGAAGACAGACGGCAGCTTCCTGTCCTTTTCTTCGGGACGGGGTTTTCTTGGTGGACATTAGTTCCCTGAACCTCCATCGTTTCCCCACCTTCAGAGACAGCGGCACCCTGGCGTTTGTGGCCGGGGATCTCCAGGCCCATTTTCTCTTCCCTCTGGGGAAGTCATTTCTCAGCATTCTTCGCAGTTGGTCCAGCCTGGTGACTGATGGTAGCTGGTGGAACGAGGGACAAAACGACGCGTCCCTCGCTTCCGTTCTGGCCCAGACTCTCTGGAAGCCACGCTCTGAAGCTGAAGGAGGAGCCCGGCCCTCGAATTACCAGGTGGGAAAGAAAAACACCTGCTTGCGCTGCGCATAAGCTACAAACTTCTGTTGCGTTGAGTCCCGAGGTTTGCTGGTTTGTAACAGCCGGGAGCACGGCCCGCTCCAACCCACGCCCGTCCCCACTTCCTACCCCGCCCACTCCCACTCCAGCCAATCACGGAAGCCTATTCCTATTGACCTCCTGATTGGTTCAGCTGGGTCATGTGACCAAGGCTGAAGCTGGAGCTCTTGATGGATTTCCAAGGTCCGCTCTACCTTGAGGATGGCGAGGCTACTGGGCCCAGTGCTCAGGGACGCACACCCGGGCTTCTGACATCTTCTAGGAGAGAAAAGAACGTCACTCCTTCTTTTGTTCTTGTCTTACTCTTTTCTTTGTGATGCCCTGCCATTGAGACGGGCCCTTTCCCCGGATGGTCCAAATTCAGGTCCTGTTTCTGCAGATTGACACTGCTGATGCCGCCCCGTCTCCACCCAGACTCTCTCCAGCTCCCTGCTGCCTCCTTGGGCGCGAGCCAGGTACAGCTGGCCCATCTTTTGTTCTTGTCTTACTCTTTTCTTTGTGATGCCCTGCCATTGAGACGGGCCCTTTCCCCGGATGGTCCAAATTCAGATCCTGTTTCTGCAGATTGACACTGCTGATGCCACCCCGTCTCCACCCAGACTCTCTCCAGCTCCCTGCTGCCTCCTTGGGTGCTAGCCAGGTACAGCTGGCCCGCTCCTATGCATCCCTCTAGTCCCCATCCCTCCACTCTTTTCTTTGTGATGCCCTGCCATTGAGACGGGCCCTTTCCCCGGATGGTCCAAATTCAGATCCTGTTTCTGCAGATTGACACTGCTGATGCCACCCCGTCTCCACCCAGACTCTCTCCAGCTCCCTGCTGCCTCCTTGGGTGCTAGCCAGGTACAGCTGGCCCGCTCCTATGCATCCCTCTAGTCCCCATCCCTCCTTACTGAGCTAACACTACTCCACACCTGCTCATACTTTTATTCTTTTCTCTCTTTTTCTTGTTTTCTTATCCTGAGGATTGAACCCAATGCCTTGGCACTGGATGACACCCCAGCCCTTTATTTATTTATTTCTTTTGGGTACTGGGCATCGAACTTGGGACCTTCTGCTTGCAAGGCAGGTGACGCACCACTTAGCTATCCCCGGCCCTCCTTTTTATTTTATATTTTGAGACAGGATCTCATTAGGTGGCTAAGTTGCCCAGGCTGACTCAGACTTGCCATCCTCCTGCCTCAGCCTCCTGGAGTGCTGAGATGGTAAGAGCGCACCACCACACCCAGCTCCTACTCATCTTTAGATGTTACCCCACAGCAAGCCTCCCTGGACCTGCCACCGCACGCTGACCGAGGTGTCATCCTGAGCGATCCAGGCTCAGCTCACCAGCATCCTGGTCACTCCCTGCACAACTCCCCAGTTCCAGTTTTTGGGTTGCAGAACAGATCTGGGCCCGTGTCCCTGCTGTCCCCAGTCCCCGACACCGCCCAGCACCCCAGCCCCACCCCACTGGAGCTACAAAGACTGCACCCCCCTGTTTCTACGGCCAGTGCCACCTCCCCGGGGCCCCTGCAAACCCTCCTCCATCATCTCCTTGCCCCCAAATCTTTACTTTAGGGTCCATCCCTAGAGGTCCAACTTCAGGTGACAAGAACTGGTAACCTGGGTGCCAGTGCACGGGGAGCCCTGACAAGTCCGGGGACCTTCACCAACCCTGGTTCCCGTCATCTGCAGACCACGCTGCCCCCCCCCGCACAGACTGTGACATTTGTAACTGTGTATTAACTGTGGTTTTTCTCTCCCTTCAGAAGTGTGATGCGTGTCGCGTCTGTGAGTGTGTGCGTGTGTTTTTAATGACTTCCTCATTTTGAGATCAGGCCAGATAGCTTTTTTTTTTTTTTTTTTTTTTTTTGAAGAAAGTCTGCCCAGAGCCTGGAACATATAGAAAATTCTGCCGGCTTAATAGCACTCTCACCCGCCCATCCATCATGGCATAGGGGGGATGAAACCCGGAGCATTGATCGCATCTATTTCTAATCCACAGGCTGCCGTGTGCATCAGACAGGACCGTCGGTGGAGATGCGGGGCCTCGCCCTCGGGTTCGGGGCTGTGGGGCAGGGAAAGGCCGGGCCCAGAGTTCAGGACATGTATGTCCAGCACCTACTGTGCGCTGTGTCCTGGGCTGGATCCCAGGGGCGCTGGATGCCGAACTCCACCTCCCACTGGGGCAGACGAGGGTGTCACTGGATCCGAGATCAGGGCCCCACTGGGGGACGCTCGGGCAACTGTGGGGACCCAAAGGAGCCCCCGGATCCAGTCCGGGTGGTCCAAGAGGGCATCCAAGAAGCAGTGGAAGGCGAGAGGTGACAGATGAGCAGGAATTAATCAAGAGAAGAAACAGGAAAGAGTTGGGTGTGGCGGTGCCTGCCTGTCATCTGAGCACGCTGGGAGGCTGAGTCAGGAGGATCACAAGTGGAGCCCAGACTGGACAATTTAGCAAGACACTGACCCAAAATTAAAAAATAAAAAAAGGCTGGGGATATACCTCACTGTGAAAGCCTTGGGTTCAATCTCTCTTACCATTAAAGAGAGAGAGAGAGAGAGAGAGAGAGAGAGCGCACAAAGCAGAGGTTCAAACCGATTCTTTGTTGACCCGTGTTCATAGCAGCAGCCTGTTCTGCAGCCAGCAGGGGGAATTACCCAGCCTCTGTATGCAGATGAAATGGGGCGTGGCCCGTCCATACAGAGGAATATTACTCATCCTTGAAAAGAAAGACACTCTGCGGTGGTGCATGGCTTGTATCCCAGCACTCAGGAGGCTGAGGCAGAAGGATCATGAGTTCGAGGCAGTCTGGGCTGCACAGGAGATCTTGTCTGCGGCTGGACTGCTGGACCTCGAAGACACACGACTCAGAGACAGGAGCCTTGGACCACACAAGATGAATACTGTGTGATCACGTGATCGCACTGACTGCCTGCCAGAGCAGCTGGTCCGGGAGGGAGCTGGCAAAGGCGGCCACGACTTTAGTGGCGGCAGAGTGCTTGCTTGGGGTCACAGTGGCTGGTGATGTTACGAATGGGCGAAAGTCGCTGCGTGGCACCCTTGAAAATGGTTGCGATGGTGAAGTTTATGTTACGTGTATTTTTCCCCCATTTCAAAAAAATGACTATAATTTCAGAGAAAAAGATCCTTTTGGCTGCTGAGGGAAATCAAGGATGGAGCGAAGGGTCCAGGAGAGTTGTCATGGGGTTCAGGCCGGGGTAGCGGGCAGAGGAAAGGCTCACGAGATGCTTGTGGGCATGCGCGCCAGTGGGCTGGGTGGAGCTAACCGGAAGCTGTGGCGGGGGCAGGAAATGATAAAGAAAAAAAGCGGCGCCGAGCTTCGGGGCGCTCACCTGTTACTTCCACCCTCTGGTAGGCTGAGGCAGGAGGATCTCAAGTTCAAGCCCAGTCTGAGCAACTTAGCAAGACCTTTTCTCAAAAGGAAAACTAAAAAAGTGCTGAAGATGTAGCTCAGTGCAAAGGCCCTAGGTTCCATCCCCAGCACCCAACAACACCCCCCCCAGTTCACCTCATGTCACAACCTTGCCTTATCCAGTCCTTTAGGGTCCAGCCCAGGGAGCCTCCAGCTGGAGGCCCTGACGCTGGGGGAACCGCTATTCCCCGGCTTCCTCCACGTGCGTCCTTACAAGGTGCAGCTGTAATACCTGCTTTTAAATTCAATTAAGTCCGCCTCAGCTCGGATTCTGGAGTGCATTACCAAGCCGGAGACAGCGGGGGAAAGGAAAAGGGGGAAAAAAACCACGCCAAACACAACACAGACCTATTTAGAGATTTCCCTCTAAATGGATTTTAATTCTCTCGATTTATCAGAGGCCAGAGGAGCTGCTGACAACCACACGCCTGGAATGTCTGCAAACCCCTCCTCCAGCCGCAGGGAGGACGGGCTGGCCGCTGTGCTCTGAAATCCCCTCCAGCTGGGGGAGCTCTGGGGTCACCCAGGCGGTTCGAATCCTGACGTTGCCACTCATGGGCTGTGTGACCCCAGACAAGTGCTGCATCCTCTCTGGGCCTCAACGTTTTGTGTGTAAAGTGCACATGGGTTTGGGTTCGGCTCAGAAGCCTCAGAGAAACAATAGCCTGGATTCTGGGAGGATCCAGATTAAATCCCCAGCCCTGGTCTCAGCACATAGGGAGCATTTGGGAAATCCAGGTCTTGATGATGAAGGTGAAGGGCATCATTATTTGGGGATTTCTTAGGGTATTTTGAAACAGGCTGCTATGCCATCCAGGTTGGCCTCAAATTCATAGCAACCTTCCTGCCTCAGCCTCCTGAGTGTTTGGAAGACAGGTGTGCACTACCACATCTGGCTGAAGGTCATCCTTATGGATCTTGTCTGTGAGCTCATGGCCCAACCCCATGCCAGGTCTCCAGTGTCAGTGGAGAGGCCACCGCTCGGCACCCCGGGCTCCACATCCAGGTCCCATTCCACAGTGGGGTAACTGAGGCTGGGGGAAGGGCAGAGGCCACGCTGAGGCCACACAGCCGAGTGCTGTCCCCCACAGGCCCGGACTTGAGCTATGTCTTGAGGGGAACATTGCGCTGTCTCAGTTTTGCCATCTGTACCACAGGAGGGCAGAAGCGCCCCCCCCATGCCCCAGGTCCATCTGTAGGAGATGGGGACAGAATCAGGTTTAGCTCAGAAATCGGGGCTCTCCTCCGGGACCCTGGGAGTGTGTTCAGCTCCCTCAGATTCTGGGGTGCAGCAGAAAGGGGCTGAGGGGAGAAGGGTCCTTGCCTCTGGTGCTCCTTGTTGGCCTACATTGACTAAGAGGCTGCTGTGGACCCCAGCATGCAGCCCTGCCGGGCCCTGCCCTCAAAGAGTTGCTGCAGTTCGAGGGGTGCTACCCCTCAGCACAACGCTGCCATAGGGTGATCTGCTCTGAGAGGCTCTGCGGCTCCTGGAATCCGAGGTAACTGTGGGTTTACTTCATTGTTTTGTTTTGATGCTTTGTTTCTCTGAGGCAGGGTCTTGCTCTGTATCCCAGGCTAGCCTTGAACTCTCAGCGATCCTCCTGCCTCAGCCTCCCAAAGTGCTAGGGTCACAGGCTTGTGCCA